CCTTAGTGGCATCAGGATGGGTCAAATGCAGAGGATTGAATCGCCCTACGGGGATCCATAAAGTGCACATTTACATTTTCATCCTTTTTTTTGTGGGTGAATAAAACAGCGAGTTGTATTCTCATGGCAATTTTTTGACCATACCCTAAGCTTTGTAAAAGTTAAGCTTCCGGATTTCTTCTGAAACCAGCACAGAATGACAGCACATACGCTAGTATCGCAGGACTCAAAAACCATATTTATCCACTCTCACTCCATCCCCACATCCCATTGTTAGCTCCTCATCTTGATTCCCTCGCAGATGCCTTCGAGGACCTCCGTAAATCTGGCTTTCATCCAACATCGCATCAATTAGATGGGAAAAGGTCACAGAAGGCGCAACCTTTAGGCTCCCAATCCCAAACATGCAATAACCCGGGGCCCCTGAAGGCATCTCCTCCAACTAAACGCATTACGATCAAGACGGATGGTCAATGCGATGCGGTGTGTAAGATGATCTAATCTGTGGGAGGGCTTTCAGATGGAATTGTCTCGTCCAGTATTTGTTACAGCTGAGCAGACTGGTCTTCTGCTGTTTTCAAATGCTTCGTCACTGAATGAGTTATTACTTGCACAATACCATAATATTTTGTCCGTCTGGCAGGTCTCACACCATCCATCCGATGCTCACAATCACAACCAACACGTCAGAGAGAAGCATAATATTATCTTCTATAAACCTTCAGGGAGGTTTAAATTCAACACAACCAAGGATTTAACAGATCTGTACCTTATTTGTTGATTTTGAATAGTAAATTGGGGAAAGAAACTCTTATATTCCTAGCTTCCTGTAATGATACAATGGTGTGTAGTTCTCCAGACGACCAGCAGGTGGCGAACATTTCTATTTTTTTAGTGCACAAAGGCCGATGATTTTAGGATTTGTTGATGGAATGCGTATTACTTTGATAATCAGAGGATATCTTGAGTAAGCCTTTAATGAATGAAGTAAGTTTGTGTTATTTGTTCAAAATGTCATATATAATTTGTTTAACATTAGATCTGTATTTAGTACTTACAGAATAAACATTTTTTTTAAACAAATTTAGACCGATTTGTAGCAAGTGAAGTAGCTTGAGGTCTGGATCTATACTGTAGCCCGACCATCGGAGCGGATCCCTTTCTTAAATTGGTTCTCCCTGAGGTTTCTCACTTTTCTCCGGGTTTTAGAGTTCTTCCTTGCCAATGCAGGAGGGTCTGTTGGACTGTTCGAAGGTCTAACTAAAAGGATTGTGCTGATGATCCAGGACACTCTACATTCAACCTTTATGGACATTTATCAACACTTAAATTTATCAGCAATTGGTCAAACTCCCTTTGGACCAAAACCATGTCTTCTATATTCTGTTTGATTCTCTGATCTGTGTTGGCCATTTCAACGGATTTGGTAAGTCCACTGAGATCACTACTGTTGTGATTCAGGGATATACTGTATGAGAATTTATTGAATTGAAGCGAGATTTGTTGAGATAAATATTCTATCTGTAGTCCTTTCCTTCATATCGGCAAGTAATAAAGTCTTACCTGAAATCTCTCATTCTTCATATAATCCACCTGGAGTATAATCCTCTTTTTGCCACGTCCCAATCCGTGGTCACTCCCTGTGCTTTGAAAGGAGTGCGACCATAGACTGTAAATATGAAGTAACATAGTCATGCTTATCTCCTCCTCTTTCTCCTTGGCCTCCTCTCTCTGTCCCTCTGCTACCATATCCCCCACTTCTTTCTCTCTCGTCCTGCTCCTCGACCTCATTCTCTTCATCTGCTCCTCTCTCAGCCTCTGTCTACTCCTGCTCCACAAGCTCCTCATCACCTTCCTCTTCTCCTCTCTCCTCCTCTTCCCTCTATCTCCACTTGCTCCACGACCAAGTCAAGTCAAAGCTGGATTAGTGTATTCCGAGTTTCCTTCTCAGTTTCTCATCGGGACTTGGAATTACAATGGTGGTCTCACTTTGATGGTGAGACGTTTCCTTTAATAATCAATCCATCAACCTTATTTTAGAGCGCTTTTCCTACACAAGGTAACACAACGAGCTTCACAACCCATATCACACAGGCATAAATTATCACATAAACACACACAATGTTATCTTTGACACACACTTTTTAGCCGCATGTTTAAAGTGATGCCCTCACGCCACATGTGGAAAGAACACAAACATCGACAGTCCACCAGCGGCAACACTGCGGTTTAACACACACAATCTTTGATATTTTGTCCTGCAACCTCGGTGTAAGTGGCTTCACATACGTCTGCTTTTATCATGCAGATGTATCAGGGACCTCAGCAGTCGGCTCATCTCCCATGAAACTCACAGACACAAAAGAACTGGAAAATACACATTTCCACTCCAATGGCGATCTGACAATAGCCACATTTTCGAGAACACATGGAACTGCATTGAAAGCCTGAATACAAATATGTCAAATGTGCGTGACTGCAAATAGAATGTGATTTAATTAAATAAAGTCAGGGAAATAAATGCAAAAATCCAGAATTAAAAACAGGAACAAAACGTGAGAAAAGACCAGTGGGGGAGGGTCCCGGCTCAAAAGTGGCCAAAATGACGTGCGCTGACATGCTGCAATACCACCCGGGCCGATGGGGGTGGAGCCGGAATAAGAATTATTCAGTGCTAATATATAGGATTAGTTGACCTCTCGAAAACGTCTTTACAGGATGGACCAAAAGTCGCTCTTGGCCCAAAGCTCCGTTCCACATGTGTGTCAATGCTGAGGGGGGTGATTTTTTTGGACCGGTCTAGTTTACTCACTGTGAATTTTTGAAGTCACTTGTTTAAATGAATGGGGCTCGTGCAGCTGACGCATGCGCAGATGGGTTTTTTCACATTTTCCAGCCCCTGCGGCCATTTTGAAACTGGCCATAGACCGCGGAAGTTGTGGCACATTAGTTAGAACGGCGGAGATAGGCATGTCTACGTTTGTTATTATTTACAGTCTATGGAAAAGACAATGGGCCGATATCAAGAGCACTGTCATGCCCCGAGCTGTGTCTCTAGTCTTCACTGGCTCTTGTGTGTGTGTGTGTGTGTGTGTGGGGGGGTGTGTTTGCGTGTGCGTGCGTGTGTTCACCTGCTCTCCCTTCTACGATCAAGCAAACCTACATCTTGCCAGCTCTCCAGACAGACTCCATCAGATTGTTTTCTCTAATCCAGTGTTTTTTCAGTCGGCTACATTTTTGAGATTTTTTTTATACTCTCATTTTGTGAATACTCTCACTTACCTCATTCTCCTTTGTTCCTAGCTCCAGGACCAAGACTACTGGCAGCCATTCCTCGACTCCTATACATGCAACCATACATTTTTGCACTTCTGTTTTGAGTCTGGTTTTTGGGTCCTAATTGCCAAGTCCTAACAAGCACAGGGTATAAGTACACACACAGAGACACAGGTGAAATACATGAGGGTGTGGCTGCTAATACACGAAGAGGAAATGAAACTCAAAGGACATGACAACCAATATTAACAAATAAAACAAAGCATCCAAATCTAAAACGATCCACACCATAACATCAGCTCAGGTGGATTGCATGTCTGTAACATGGATCTATAATAATAACTGGATAGGGTATTACTAGCTTGGAGCTGAATAACTCATGTGCTCGGGGGATTCTCAGGATACTGCAGACTAGACCAGACCAAATTCACGTGGGCTACCAAGAAATTTTCCCCATAGAACTCATAGCATAATAAAACAGCGTGACCTCAGCTGACAGAGAACCTACAGCTTTAATAAAGATCAGATTTTGTGGGGATTTTAGTGTCCCTTGTCATCCTGAACTTTTTTTCTTCTTAAATCCTTCGGTTTTCTTTAAATCTACACTTTAGTGCCACAAACTCTGCTCGTCTGGCTCTCGCTCTAACTCCCGCTCTGATGAACTGCTCTGATTGGTCAGAGCCCGGCCGAGCCCGGCCGAGCCCCTCTGTGCACGAGACCCGGTGTGAGACCCACACACGCGTGTTTGACGCAACGCATTATGGGAGATCATCCACTGCGCAGAACCGGGAGGACCAGACGATGCCCAAATACAGGCGAGTTTCCCATAGTTCTTTGCGAGTTCCAGGCGACTTCCGCTAATCTTTTCAGCACCCATGCCGTCACAAAGCGCCACTGAGCACAACCATCCATTTGAATAGGGCGCCATCTTGGTGGCTGCAGTTTCCTCGGTTGAATCCCCTCCGACCAATCAACGGGCGGGGGAGGCGGGTGTTGTAGGTCGGTGTCTGTAACGTCAAGAGTTTGCGTCATATTTGCTAGTTGTAGTTGGGCGATGGCGGCGCATGTGATAGTAAAGTAATCTGTTCTGGTTCGGCTCCTATATCAATAAATAGAAGCCGGAGCAAGAGGAATGTTTAGCAAATGTAATCGCTGGTGAAGATTTTGTGGCTCTACTCCCCACGAGCTTCGTTTGTGGCAAAGGAGATGGCTAAAGCTAGGCTAAGTGCTAAATGTCTGCGACTCACTCAGGTGCGTTACATACGTTTTGGCAACCTCAGATCCAATCGTTTCAATCTGTAAAAGGAGTTAACCCCTCCCACCTGTTTACGGAGCTCAACGGAGCAAATCCAGACTTTAGGATTAAATGAAATTCGTACGATGGTGTGGTACGACCAGGCTAGGCAAGTCTCAAAAGCAGCTAATGCTACTTTTTGTGAACATGTCAGCTTGTCATAAAGTCACTTGGCCTGAAAATGCTGCAGTTTATTATAAGATGAAGTCAGTGCTTTTGTGGAGATGATATTTCTAGGTCTATATTTGCAATTTTCCGTCTTGTTCTTTCCTGAAATCTCTCATTCTTCATATAATCCACCTGGAGTATAATCCTCTTTTTGCCACGTCCCAATCCCCGGTCACTCCCTGTGCTTTGAAAGGAGTGCGACCATAGACTGTAAATATGAAGTAACATAGTCACGCTTATCTCTTCCTCTTTCTCCTCTTAGCCTCTGCTCCTATCTCCCCCTCTTCCCTCTCTCTCCTCCTGCTCCTCGACTTCATTCTCTTCATCTGCTCCTTTCTCAGCCTCTTTCCTCTATCTCCTCCTGCTCCTCGGCCTCCTCTCACCCGCTCCTCCCTCTTGCTCCTACTGCTCATCAACCTCCTTATTCTCTCCCTTTGCTCCTCTCTCCCTGTCTTTTCTCTCTTTCCTCCCTCTGTCCTTCTGCTCATCTCTCCCTCTCTTCTCTCTCTCTCCTCCTGCTCTTCGGCCTTCCCCTCTCCACCTCTCTCTCCTCCTGCTCCTCCCTCTGTCCTTCAGCTCATCTCTCCCCTCTCTCTCTCTCTCCTCCTGCTCCTCCCTCTGTCCTTCTGCTCATCTCTCCCCTCTCTCTCTCTCTCCTTCTGCTCCTCCCTCTGTCCTTCTGCTCATCTCTCCCCTCTTTCTCTCTCTCCTTCTGCTCCTCCCTCTGTCTTTCTGCTCATCTCTCCCCCTCTCCACCTCTCTCCTCCGGCTCCTCCCTCTGTCCTGCTGCTCTCTCCCCTCTCTCTCTCTCCTCCTGCTCCTCCCTCTGTCCTTCTGCTCATCTCTCCCCCTCTCCACCTCTCTCCTCCTGCTCCTCCCACTGTCCTGCTCCTCTCTCCCCTCTCTCTCTCTCCTCCTGCTCCTCCCTCTGTCCTTCTGCTCATCTCTCCCTCTCTTCTCTCTCTCTCCTCCTGCTCTTCGGCCTTCCCCTCTCCACCTCTCTCTCCTCCTGCTCCTCCCTCTGTCCTTCAGCTCATCTCTCCCCTCTCTCTCTCTCTCCTTCTGCTCCTCCCTCTGTCTTTCTGCTCATCTCTCCACCTCTCTCCTCCTGCTCCTCCCTCTGTCCTTCAGCTCATCTCTCCCCTCTCTCTCTCTCTCTCTCTCTCTTCTGCTCCTCCCTCTGTCTTTCTGCTCATCTCTCCCCCTCTCCACCTCTCTCCTCCTGCTCCTCCCTCTGTCCTGCTGCTCTCTCCCCTCTCTCTCTCTCCTCCTGCTCCTCCCTCTGTCCTTCTGCTCATCTCTCCCCCTCTCCACCTCTCTCCTCCTGCTCCTCCCACTGTCCTGCTCCTCTCTCCCCTCTCTCTCTCTCCTCCTGCTCCTCCCTCTGTCCTTCTGCTCATCTCTCCCTCTCTTCTCTCTCTCTCCTCCTGCTCTTCGGCCTTCCCCTCTCCACCTCTCTCTCCTCCTGCTCCTCCCTCTGTCCTTCAGCTCATCTCTCCCCTCTCTCTCTCTCTCCTCCTGCTCCTCCCTCTGTCCTTCTGCTCATCTCTCCCCTCTCTCTCTCTCTCCTTCTGCTCCTCCCTCTGTCCTTCTGCTCATCTCTCCCCTCTTTCTCTCTCTCCTTCTGCTCCTCCCTCTGTCTTTCTGCTCATCTCTCCCCCTCTCCACCTCTCTCCTCCTGCTCCTCCCTCTGTCCTGCTGCTCTCTCCCCTCTCTCTCTCTCCTCCTGCTCCTCCCTCTGTCCTTCTGCTCATCTCTCCCCCTCTCCACCTCTCTCCTCCTGCTCCTCCCACTGTCCTGCTCCTCTCTCCCCTCTCTCTCTCTCCTCCTGCTCCTCCCTCTGTCCTTCTGCTCATCTCTCCCTCTCTCTCTCTCTCTCTCCTCCTGCTCTTCGGCCTTCCCCTCTCCACCTCTCTCTCCTCCTGCTCCTCCCTCTGTCCTTCAGCTCATCTCTCCCCTCTCTCTCTCTCTCCTTCTGCTCCTCCCTCTGTCTTTCTGCTCATCTCTCCACCTCTCTCCTCCTGCTCCTCCCTCTGTCCTTCAGCTCATCTCTCCCCTCTCTCTCTCTCTCTCCTTCTGCTCCTCCCTCTGTCTTTCTGCTCATCTCTCCCCCTCTCCACCTCTCTCCTCCTGCTCCTCCCTCTGTCCTGCTGCTCTCTCCCCTCTCTCTCTCTCCTCCTGCTCCTCCCTCTGTCCTTCTGCTCATCTCTCCCCCTCTCCACCTCTCTCCTCCTGCTCCTCCCACTGTCCTGCTCCTCTCTCCCCTCTCTCTCTCTCCTCCTGCTCCTCCCTCCTCCCTCTGTCCTTCTGCTCATCTCTCCCTCTCTTCTCTCTCTCTCCTCCTGCTCTTCGGCCTTCCCCTCTCCACCTCTCTCTCCTCCTGCTCCTCCCTCTGTCCTTCAGCTCATCTCTCCCCTCTCTCTCTCTCTCTCCTTCTGCTCCTCCCTCTGTCTTTCTGCTCATCTCTCCCACCTCTCTCCTCCTGCTCCTCCCTCTGTCCTGCTGCTCTCTCCCCTCTCTCTCTCTCTTCCTGCTCCTCCCTCTGTCCTTCTGCTCCTCTCTCCCCCTCTCCACCTCTCTCCTTCTGCTCCTCCCTCTGTCCTGCTGCTCTCTCCCCTCTCTCTCTCCTCCTGCTCCTCCCTCTGTCCTTCTGCTCCTCTCTCCCTCTCTCCACCTCTCTCTCCTCCTGCTCTTCGGCCTCCTCCCTCTGTCCTTCTGCTCCTCTCTCCCCCTCTCCACCTCTTTCTCCTAAGTGTGTGA